TGCAGTCCGCCTGAATCCACAGTGAGTTTGTGTAAGAGTGTGTGCGTGTGTGTGTTCTGAGTTAACTTTTCTCCCTCTCATCTATGCTGCAGGTGCGGGATAGAAACTTTTCTCCTCCACTTATGGAAGAAAAGAGAGTGAAGGGGTGAGCCGGGTGAAGGCGTAAGGCTCTATTCAGAGTGTGGGAAAGCAATCTGCGCCCCTCTCGAGCTGTCTATTCTTTGGTCACTGGACACTTGAACAAACCAAAGCCGAGGAGTTTTTAAGATCACAAAAAAAGAAAAGCCCTCCGATTTTTTTCTTAATCATTCTTGTTTTTTGTGGCAACAATCAAGCATTGTATATTTTGTACTGGCTACATTCCTGACTATTTGGACTAACTAATATCTCTTCACACACCCTTCCTTCCCAGCCATTCTTGGAGAATACCCCCCCCCACATTTCAGCATGGCTGCAGTTTGGTCTCAGTGAGCTTCTCGATCACTGGGATGATGTACATATTGTGCTTGAGGGGAGTTTTTGTGTTATAGGGTGGGAAGGGCCTTGGGCAGTGGGAATACAGACGTGGATTAGGATATGAACTCTATAATATAGAGTGGATTGTATTTGTTTGTGGGGATTATCTATTTCTACAGACTGTCAGATCAACGAGTTTCATAAACTCCTTTAATTGTTTTTTTGCTTTGTACTTACTCTTTTTACACAAGAAAATAAATCATACATGAAAGTGAGAAATATGTGGTTCAGTATCTTTTCTTAAACAACTAAATGCAGACTTTTTGACACCTTTAAATCATCAGGTATATGTCTTATGGAGATATACTGAAAATATAATATATTTTCTGTTTAAAAAATAAGAAAAAAGTGATTCCTTTCACCCCATCTCCCCTATAGCTGTTTATATGGTTAATATATTCATTGATATGAAATATCATTCACAGCAGTCAATTTCAAGACATTTGATTTTAAAAAATCCTAAGAGAAATTGCTTATGAAAGACTATGTGTAAGTAAAAACAAGATAAAGTAAATAATGGTTAAAAAGTAAAAGTACAGTGTATCTGCCAAAAATCTTTCCAGATAGAGTCATCTTGGACTTTTTTGTTTTTAGCATATGATCTGTTACAGGCCTAAACAGCAATGTCTAAATGTGAGTCACTTTATTTAAATATAGCACATCTGTCTTCTGAGTGTCTGTAGATTCAATCAAAAAAGACCTTTGCCCACAGAACTAGAGTTCAGTGCAAAAGTGGCCTATGGTCAAACTTTGATAAGCACTAGTATTCATCTCATCTGGACTCTAAAAGAGGGATTATGGTTTTAAGAGGCTGACCGTCGACACACTTAAGGTTTAAGATGTGGGTGTTGAGTGTGAAGTGTTCTGCAGGACGCCTTCAAACATAACAGGTAATATAGCGACACCCAGTGTTCTAAGTAATAATCACATACACGTTTGCGTTTGCACCGCAGATAGTGAACTGGCGCCATCTTGTGGCTGGTATATGTTAATTAATTGTTGGTCAGCATGTGGATGAAATATAGTGGCTAGCTGTTGCACTTTGTATTTCAAATATTTTTTCGAATATTTCTATGGATAGGTTCATTTTTGTAAATTTCAGTACAGACACATACAATAAATTTGTTTCTACAAAAACCTAAATTTCACCTGTTACTCCCCTTTAAAACAGTTCCTTTTGTGACAACATGCCCCAGTCACAGAGGATGTCACAATATTTGGGTTAAACTGCCATAACGGATCCAAATTTTACCTTTATTATAATTTACACATGTCTGAATGTATGCCATCGTGGTTGTGTTCAAATAGTTTTGAACTAGCTATTTGAAAACAAAATATAATACTTAACTAGAAAAGCCTATATTTGTGTTACTCGTCTTTTGACTCTAAATTATTTACTGAGCTATTTTCTTTGTCGCAACTTCTTCCTTATTTTTATGTTTAGTAAAAATTAGTAAAATATTCAGGCTCTCTAATAAAGGGATAAATTAAATATTACAAAAGCTAAACTCTACTGTAGTAATGCAATATTCTCTCATTCATCTTTATGTTCTACTTTGTTCAAATAAGTAAAGTCTGACGATGGTGAGGTTTTTTTTTTTAATCCTCTGTCTGACCTTTCAGAAGTTTATGGTTCTGAGTGCTTCAGTAATGAATGCCTGTATTTTTGTAAGCCAACCCAGCATCACCCTGTTTTCCATTGGCTTTTGGATTATTGCAGAGAAAGCTAGGCCTATTTGACTAACAAAAGTGTATGATTTTTACACATTTTGTTCATCATGATATCCTTCACAAATTAACAAAATGTAATAAATTTTGAAGCCTAAATTAAAAGCTAAAAATGTATTGGCTACAAACGAACAACACACTCTCGGCATGTAGGCTATTTAACGTCAACACAATTAAGCTTCCGACAGCTCTTTCGGTCTTTATTTAAACACATTTCCCCTGAAGGTTGAGTTAAAATGCTGAACGTGATTTTGAGGGGCCGGGGCCCCATATTAAATTCAGTGCACAGGGCCCAGAATTCCTAGCGACGGCCCTGGTCTCATTTAGGCACGTAGCAATCTCGTTTTTCAAGACAAGTAAAACTTGTACACATGTACACTTGGTGTAGCCTACTTTTTGTCGTAGAATAAGACGTGAAAATATCTTGAGCTTGTGTTAACCACTGACTTTGTTTCATGAATTCACCAAAAACCCACTTAAAAAAAAAGAAGAAGAAGAAGAAGAAGAAGAAGAAGAAATGGCAGAAATCCCGTGCATATCCATGGAAGAGGGCAGACAACAGCACACGACACCAACCTTCTAGCAACGTCTTTGTAAACATTGATTGCTGTGCCACGGGTTTAATGCAAACAAATGCACAAATATATAAATAATCCTTGACTGAGACAGGGAAGAACTCACATTATAGACTTATCTTACAGTTTGTTAGTCTGAAACATTCGTTTTGTTCACTATAACTATAGATAATCCACTCTTTTGGCATCTGATGTCTAACCTTAGTACCTAAATTAGCTAGCCTATATGTCTAAGTAGAAACTTCATTTGTCATTTTAAGAATAGCCTATGTGCTGCTTTGGTCTCCCAGTATAACAGAGTTTGCCCTTTAGAACTTAAATTTTAGAAGCCC